GGGTTGTCGGTATGGATCTTAAAGCTACAAAAGATGGCAGATTGGAATAAGGCTATGATTTTAATATGAGGCTCCACCCTCCCATCTGTTTGAACACTTGGTCCCCAGCTGGTGGCGCTGTTTGGGGGAAGCTATGAACCATTAGGAAACAAGACCAGGCTGGAGGATATGAGTTGCCGAGAGATGAAGGCTTGCTGGCCTCCTGTCTGTCCCACTCTGTCTATCAAGAGGTATGGAGTCCAGAGATGTGTTCTGGCCACCATGAGTTCTGTGGGTCTTTCTCCCACCATGGACTGTACTTTCTCAAACCATGAAACGTAATAAATCATCTCTCTTTGAAATTGCTTCTTGTCAGGGATTTAGTCACAGCAATGACTAACACAGGTATGTGACAGAAAACTATAAACTAACACAAGTATGTGACAGAAAAGGCAGCTTCCTGTGCCGGGATACCCACATACCAGTCAAGGGTGCCTGACTTTGGAAGACAACTTAAGACAAGTAATTCTTTTTGTTTTTCTTTTTTTTTCTTTTTGTCATCTATTTTTTTAATTGAAAATAGTTTTTTCCATAAACTATATTCCAATTATGGTTGCCCCTCCCGTAACGCCTCCCAGGTCCTCCCAAATAATTTTACAGTGAGAAGCAGGGGACACATTGAGATGGCTGGAGCCACAGTAGGGAAGGACAAAGCATGCCTGGTCTTCCTGCTCAATCCAGAAGCAGAGGGCAGATGGATAACAGACTCCAACTGCCAACTCCATCCATATCCCCTCAGCAAGTCCAGATGCCTCAATGAGAAGTTAAGATTCTACGGAGAGTTGGGAATCATGGTGTCTTGGTTACTTAGCTTGCCTCCAATAGGATGACTTAGGCCAGAAATGGAAAGCTCCTTGATTAGTTCCCCAATGATAGAAGGAGGAGCAACAACAGATAAGATTATAAAAGATTATAATCAGAAGTGAATCACTTAGAACTCTTAGTACTAGGCATCACTTAATACTCTTAGAATAGTGGTCTCGGTTCCTGTAGTTGTTCCTTACTGCCGTGTGCAGCTATTTTTAATGATGGGGAACTGGCTAAGGAGGGCTGAATTTCTAATGGCCACTAGCTTGCCAGACTGGTTTCAGCTAGCTCCTCCGTATCTTTCTTGTATCTTTGAAAACATATTCTTTGGGGGCTGGAGAGAGAGCTCAGGTCATCTGCCACACAAACATGCAGACCTGAGTTCAGATCCCCAGCACACAAATAAGAACAGGTAGCATGCCTCTGTAATCCCATCACTGGGGATGTGGAGACAGGTGTGTCCTTGAAGCTCATTAGCCATCAGCCTAACTGAATGAATGAGCTCCTAGGTCATTGAGAGACTCAAAAAATAAGGTGGAGAGAGACTTTAGAAGATACTCAGAGCATCAACTTCTGGCTTCCATATACATGCACACGAATATGTACATGCACAGGCCCATGCATGCTTGCACATACCCTTTGGGATTCACCATAAAGAACTCTGGTCTTCACCTGGTATGGTACTATCTTGATTCCTAATTGGTATTAATTTTCTTAACTATACAAAGATAAGAAACTAATCCAGGCTCAAAGAGACCTCCTTCAGAACAAAGGCATGTCCATAATCAAAAGAGGTTAAAGGTGAAACTTGAATCAAAAATCACAGAAATGAACTCGTTGACTAAAACTATTTCCTCAACCATAAAAGGTTTTCTTCCCTCTGCTCCAAAGGCAGTGAGGGCCACCCTCTAGCAATAAGGCGTCTCTTCACCTGCACACACAGACCCAGGGCAGGGAGGCATGCCGGCAAAATCAGCGACTGATTGATGCTGGGAATAGCACTTTCCCTGAATTTGCCTTGTATTTTTAATTCATGTTGTATTTGGGCCCCAAGAAAGATTTGTGAGGCCAAGCTGATGTACAGCACTAAATGACTAGTTAACCGTCCCTACTAATCACATAAATATGGTTTATGGAATGGTATAAAATGGTTTATGAAATCATTTTTGAGCCATCTCTTCGACAGTAATTATACCAGCCCATAATACCTTAAACCAAGTGAAATTGGCAAGAATTAGCCTAAGCATCCTTAATATTCTGATGGTTATCACAAGGACTGCCAGTGCAGCCAAATGACAGGGTTGTGTTTAATTTCTCTCCTTCCACTGCATTTCTCTTATTTTTTTCCTCTGTTCACATTAAACATACTTCATAACATTTCATCACGGGAGAAGGCTGCATAAGTTTCCAGTTGCTGTAATTTAGTTAAGCCATAAAATTGTTTCCAGATTACCAACCATGAAATGGAAAGACAATCTTATTTATGAATTTATAAATCAGATAATCTCCCTCAAATGAATCCTGAAACCAGAAACACTTTGATGCTTAAATATGAAGGGAAAAGTTTTCTCATTACCATGTGTCAAAAGAATTGTATTTTCATGAAGTGGTTTGGGCTAAGACATTGGCGCATACTCTTGTGGTCAGTGTGCTGTCCATCTCTGTGCTGTTCATCACTGGCTCCACCATGCCGGAGTGGGAGAGAACTGTGGCCCCTGTGTGCTTGGTTCAAGTGTCTATAAACTATAGGGAGGACATCCAAGAGCTACTGGCCGCATCTGACTGGTGTCTTCTCCCTGGTGGCCCTGTTGATGCCATAGCCTGGAAGAGGCCACCCAGGGAGTATTCATGTCCTAACTCATAGTTACGAAGTGCAGAACCAAGCATGTAGATACCTGGATCACATGTAGGGATTTTGCTCCAAGCATCTAAACTGTCATCCCAGGCTGCTCTACCAGTGCTGGTTTGAGCCCTGAAGAATCGGGCAGTGGAGTGCAAATGAAGAATTGTCGTTTGCTATCTGCATCCCAAAACCACTAGGGAGGGGAAGGGCAGTGGAGAAGCCTATCTCCCCTGATCCAAAGAAAATTCTAGGAAGCCCTATGGGCCCTCATGGGTCCAACCCTGCCTCTGCTGTGATGCTCTGTAATACTGTCCTCAGTGATGATCCAGTTAAAGATGGTCCTATGTCCAGGGTGTTTTATTTGTCTTTTTAATGCTGCTGCCACCCCCTCTTGTAAGACAGGGTAATGAATACTTTGACCAACAAGAAACCTGCTAGAACATTGATTTAGCCCTGATCTGTATTGCCTCCATAGCCAGTGTTACAGTGCCAGTGGATCTGCACTGCCTCCATAGCCAGTGTGACAGTGACAGTGGATCTGCACTGCCTCCATGTCCAGTGTGACAGTGCCAGTGGATCTGCACTGCCTCCATAGCCAGTGTGACAGTGCCAAGATTTCTTCTTGTCATTTCCTCTAAGTAGATTCTTGGTTATTCCTTGTAGCTGTGCACCTGCCTGCACATTGCATTTCTCTCCATCTTCTGTGCAGTGAATGATAGGGCTAAACAACTTTCACTCTGTACTGGCATTTTCTCCCAAAGAAGTAGTTTCCCAGGTGTTTGTGTCCACCTGTGTCTCCTACATGGCAGACATGGGGCCAATCACTACCCTTATCACTTCTGAGATGACACGATGACTTACCAATAAGCACGGGCTTTCTGGCAAGTTTTTACTTACCTGATTTCATTATTAGAAATTTTTACTAACTCTGTTTCTTAACCTGTGGATACTTTTATGGTAAAGAGGAAGCCAAGCACACAAGGGTGCCTGCCTGAAAATGCTTCAGTTCAGAGATTGACATCCACTGCTGTGCCTGGGCATATGAGCAGTCGGTCTGTGGAGATAGATGTGTGTCCACACTTGGCATTTGAGATGACCTCTCCCCCAGTAGAACAGAGATCACACTGTTCAGACGTATATCCCTGGGTGGGGCTGCTTGCCTTTTGCACCGTGAACTACTCACACGCCATGACATACATACAAGAAACCTCTTGGTCATAGCTGCCCTGCCAGTTTAAAGGGAAGACAGCACGTAGACTCAACAAGTCAGAAGCTGGTGATTGCAAAGTTAAACTTCGTGACTGATAAGGCATTAAAGGTTTTAGCCCAAAGGCAAGACTCAAGGCCTCAAAGCTCCAGGTTGCTCCTGATTACCACAAAGTTCAGAACACAGATGTCCTGCCTTTCCATGAGCCCAGCCTCACCAGTTCTGTTTCTGTGGTGAAAGGATGGATTGCTACTCTGTCCTCACAGAGTATCAGATAAAATGTTGGTTTACACTGGAGAGCCACAGTGTGTGTATGAGTGTGCTGTTTGTAGAATAGGAATCACCATCACATGGTCTAAGATGTAGAGAGGCAAGTCTGTTTCAAATACCTGACTGTAGTATCACAGAGCCCTGAAGAGAAAGGTACAGTACCTGTCCATAGGCAGTAACTAGGGGGATTTTTATTAGTGTGTTCATGATTGAGTTGTTGGGTATATTTTTCTTTCTTGATCCTGTAAAATCCTCCAGGCTAAGGCCTCTGCACCATTAAACTGAGCATCATCTACTTCCAAACTCATATTGATTTCAATTGCATTCTCCATGGTGTTGACAAGAGACACTTGTTTGTCTGCCCTTGGGCTATGAAACAAGCATAACTACACACACAACAAATATCTCCATCATTCACACCAAAATCAGCCTGCAGCTTCCCAGCTGCGAAGAGCAGCCTCTGGGCATGTATGAATGCAGGGCCTGGCCCGGAGTATAACCAGTCCCACTGGGGTCTCTTCTGATGCAATGTAAACAACAAAATAGGGCATGAAGACTGAAAAGCACATGCTGTGTGAACATCGGAGGAAGATGCTGTTTCCTGGGCGGCCTCTTCTGGCCTACGCATTGTCTTCTTTGTGAGGTCACAGCCTCCTCTCTCCACTCTTACCAGTGAATCTTGGCCTCAGCCAAGGATCTTCAGTTCTCCAGGTTTGGGTAGACTTTGGCAGCCTGTGGGGTGGTACCTTTTATAGCCCTCAGGTGGATCATTCACCTAGAAGAACCCGTCTGAAAGTCAACAGAGCTTTAACAAATAATTCTCTTGTTTTGCAGAGAGAGGATGCAAGCCATGGAGAAGCAGATTGCCAGTCTCACTGGCCTTGTTCAGTCTGCGCTTTTTAAAGGGCCCATTACAAGTAGTAGCAAAGAGGCGTCTAGGTAAAAAAAAAAAAAGCAAGCCATGCAGGAAAAAAAAAAAAATCAACCTGCTTCTCCTTAATCATTGCAGCCATTCATTCACTGGAATTCGTTTCTTCGTGATCATTATAGGGCTGACATGTTTACATCTTTATAATCATGGTGTGGGGGTTGTTCTTTTGGTTTTGTTTTTCTTCTGGTCATTCTTGGACAAAGGTAACACTTTGGCCCAAGAAGGGACACCGGGCTTCCCAGTGCATGTGGCTTCATGGACCACTTGCTCCACAGTGCCTGTTCCTACCATCCACGTGTGTCCACATCCGCCACCATCTGAACAGTCACCGCGTGCCCAGCTGCATCTGCCTGAATCAGCACACACGTGGGAAGCCTTTCCCGTCCCGGGCAGTCATGGAGCTGATGGCAAACACCTCCATTGCTTAATCCATCACTGCTAATTCTTAAGAATAGAAGGGTCAAGGAAAGACAGTGGCACTTGGAAAACTATAGATTGGACTCTCCTTTTCTTTCTTTCAGTGAGAAAATGATGAAAGCCACAGCCAACAGGAACCAAACAGATGGTGCAGGTGAGTGTTCCCAGGAGCTCTGGAGGGCCGTGAGTTTCAGTCAGCTCCGGCTGGCTTCACAGGTACTCAGTGTTTCTCCAAGTCACCTGGTATGATTCCGAGATATCCTCAACAACTCCATTGCTAATGCAATGCAGAAATTATTACCTTCGTGGTTCGTTCACTCACTCATATGACCTTACTTCTATTCCAGGCACTGGTGTGCAGAGTGGATATGGTAAATATAAACCACGGTGCTACCTGCCTAGAACTTTAAATCCACAGAAAAGTTGGAAGTAGATGTAGGTTGAGTATCAAGAATTGTGGGATAAAACCTTACCCAGCAGGGCTTGCCTGTGTTGAAAGCATCCCCTGGAAAGGTGATGGAGGAGTACAAAGAACTCAGGGAAGGGAAAGAGGAGAGGATCCTTCCAGGTGGAGGCAACTTGGAGGGCGGTCCTTAACTGTAAAGTGAGGCCATTGGGAGATTGTACTCTGAGGAAGAACATTAGCCTGGGTGTAACAGGCGAATGGACAAGAGTGAATGGGAAGAAGTAACCACTTACCTAAGTCTAGATAGGGAAAGAGAGTGAATGAACGTGCTTTAGGGCTTTCCTTTTAAATGTTAATGGTCCCCTGAAGGAGGACTGACTCTGTCACCAGCATAACTTCCTGGTATCACCACATCTGTGTGGTGACAGCCTGATCCTGGGGTCCCCAGGCAGGTCTCCCTCCAGAAGATGCTATCTTCCTGCCCGCTGGGTTAGAAACAGATCATGGTAGGAGCATGCTCACAGGCTGAGGCTGGACAGAAGCAAACAGCCAGGGGTTGTGTGAAACCCCTCATTTGGGGGAAACCACATCTTCTAGTCATGCAGCACATGAATGTGGATAGGATTAGGAACGTAGGTCTAGCATCCCCACCCCTCCCCCTGGCTCCCCTTGGGCTGAGCAAAGCCCGGCACTCAGTTCTAAAGAGATACTTCTCCAGCATCCAACTAAAAAAATCAGTCAATGGCCTGGGCTGAACCCAGACAGTTATTTCATGGAAATCACTGAACTTAACTTCAGAGCAATTGCCAGTTTGCTCTGGGGATATGTGTTCACTCATTTTCTTATTTATTGTGAACTTAAGGGAATAAAATGAAACTGCTAACACCAAAGCCTTCAGTGCCTCCGGAATCCATTCTGGAAATGATGAGTGTCCTGTACATCATTCTGCTCAAGATGTACATGCTGGTTTGTAGCCTCCGATGCTCTCTCGATTTCTATAGAGTAATAAATAATAAGGAAACATTTAGGGAATGATTCCTATGTGTCTGGCACTGTTTGTGCGTTAACCCATTAATGTCTATCCCCAAGGGGTAGGTATCATTTTTATTTCCTTGTTCCACATAAGTAAGTGGAGCATACATTCCCACACATGTGACATACAGTCCACAAACCTCCTATTTGATCGCATTCTTTCACGTTAGGACACACAAGTCCCTTGAAAGATGCACAGGTTGTTTGATTTCTTCAGTCTGAAATTTTTGTAAATGTCTCTCTTGAGCAAGGCAGAAGAGACAAGTGTAGTTTCTTGGGCCATATTTCCAAGTGTGATCAGGAATTGTAGGGGACAGACAGTGGTAGGGGTCACGTGTTTTTTGAAAAGCATTGGCAATGACATTGGTAGTGTGAGTGATTTTAACTCAGGCCAGTTTGGTCTTTCTCTTGCTAATGAATGTATCAAGGCTAGATACTGCCCACAGGGGGTTAGTTGCCATAGCAGCCAGTACAGTGCACAAAATAGAGTAATTCTTTCATAATCCTAGAAAGTAAACTGTAAGAAAGTGGTGTTATCCCTGAGTATAGACAAATAACAGGCTTATATAGAAGCCAACGTACTCATTTGGCCAAAGGTCAACACAAATGAAGTCCAGACTTCCTGGTTACATTAGAAAGGTGTAATTTACTGTAGACATGAGGGAGCAGAGGACATCTCCCATTTCTGAGGCCTACCATGTGTGTTACATTGTCTCGTCTCAGTCAGCACACCTAACCCTGTGGAGAAAACGTTGCCATCTGTATCTTATGGTGAGAAACAGACTCACAGTGAGTTAAGATGTGCAGAGTCTCCCAGCTAATGACAGTCGGTCTTCCTACATCTCACACCAGTACTAGCTCTGCCACAACAAGGTACATTAAGCTCACATCACATGCATTCTTGTTAAAATTCATATTAAGATCTAACTTACCAAGGGCCAGTGAGATGTCTCAATGGGTAAAGGCACTTGTGCAAGCCTGGCAACCTCAATCTGCAGGACCCACAGAAGGTAGAAGGGGAGAACGGATTCCAGAGTTGTACTCTGACCTGTAACAGTGTGCACACGTACACGTGTCCTCATGAACACACACACACACACACACACACACACACACACACACACACACGGAGGAGGAGGATTATAATAATTATAATTTTAAAATTCTGGGGACAAACTGTACGTTGTCTCTTCTTGCTAGACTTGGCAAGAAACTGAATGTGACTCCCCATCTGTGGGTGTGGCAGACCACCTCCAGGTCTTGTGACTCCAGTGTGAGTGGGGACCCACTTGGAGTCCTCAGCAACTAGATCTTCTCCATCCTGAGTATATATTTCAGGGCCCTTGCTATAGATTCTTGCTGGCTGTTGGTCACCCCCCAATGCTCTGTACGTGCTGAGACTCTGGATGGAGATGGGAAAGATGGTCCTTTCTACCATTCTGCTCAGAATTCAGCCAAGGGCAGTACGTTTCACTATTGGTGAAATTATTAAGGCCACTCCACGTAGTTAAAAGGAAGATTTATTTAGTGGGTGACTTACAAATGAAGGGATAGGTAGGTTGCGGGGGTCTGGGGAAGGAACACCGCAATCCAGCGGTGTTCTCTGGAGCAATGCTCGGTCTACCTCCACCGTCCAGGGTCCAGGCACAGAGAGAGCGCTCGCCCATCCAGGTCTCGGGTCTCCAGACGCCTCCCTTGGCCCTGCCTCGTAGGCATGACAGTTGTCAGAGTCTCAATGCGGGTTGGAACTTCCAGATCCAAGCTGGAATGGCTACCCACTACATCTCCCCCTTTTTGTCCACCCTCCAGCAACATTTCACTCTTCACCAGACATTGGGCTAAGCAGTTAAAGGTGGTAACTTCCTTAGCTTGCAGGGTAGCACCAGTACCCATCTAAGCAAATACAAAAAGAATATGGTTAAGCTCTTGCTTGCCCAAGATCATACATGGCAAAGTGGACAGGTTCTGGCCTAAATATTGAAATGGATAAGAGTGGCCTTGGCTAAAATCAAATGGCTAGAGACAGGAGGCAGTTTGCGGGGAGGTGAGAAGAGATAGTGAATTGGATCTGCTTGGAGGAGAGGCTGAGAGTTACTTGAGGCCATTGGTATGTGGCATCTGGGGAGGGTGGTGTGGGGAGCTGGGCAGGTAGCAGAAGAGGATGGAATTGCCCCTGACGCTGTGGCCAGTGAGAAGAGCAGGCAGTGGGGTGTCAAAGGCTGATGGAGGGAGTGTTTGGAGAAGAGACAGACTGATGAAGCTGGAGCATCAGAGAGAAAAGTCAAGGGAGAGACATTTCTGTGTGACAGGAAAGGAGAGAAGTGACTGGCAGGCCAATGGCATGCTAGTTGAAGTCACTCTCCCTGGAGAGTGGCCATAGCTGGCCCCTTGATGAGCAGCCATGTCAGGGAATTGGTGGAACTAAAGACCATGTGCAATAGAACCAGATGTTACTGAAAAAGATGGATTCTTAAATACTAGAGACTCCAGAAAGAAGCTGGTTTTTGAAAATGTTTTTGAAGCCTGATGTCCGCAGTCAGCTATAACAAAAACATGCAGACTGGAGCCTGTGTTCTGTAAGAGTTGGCCCAGCGGGTAAAGGTGCTTCCTGTGCAGACCTGGAAACCCAAGATTGACCCCAGAACCCACTCAAAGTTGGAAGGTGGGAATCGACATGTACACACACACACACACACACGCACACGCACACGCGCGCGCACACACACACACACACACACACACACACACATACACACACACAAATAAATAGGATTGGTGAGGTAAGCTGGTACCCTCAGAGCATACAAGGATCACAAGGTATATAGGAGGAATGGGCCTTCATTTGGCTGAGGAACTGCCAGGACAGACTGACGTTCACAGCGTCATTTTAACAGAGAGAAACCATGGCGGTTCCATTTACTATTCAGGTGATGTACGTGTAATCCAGGAGTATTCGCATGCCTGTACATGTGTATCTTTGCCTACAGACAAGGCATAAGCTGTCTGATTCAACAACAAGTGACAACTTGGAACTGATAGCTATACCCTGTCAGAATACCTGACCTTGGAAGACACTAAGTTAATTATGACACGCTACTGCTGTAGCCAGAGATGTCACTGGATGTTCTCTTCCTTTGTACCTCACAGTGGAAAACAGTCTTTTCAACAGCTGCACACACACATGGCAAATATTGACTTTCCTGAGGGTGACTTTGATCTGTGTGTAAGGGACAGGGACACGTATAAGTTTTCCAAGTCCTGACTGGTGACGGTGTGAATAACTGCTAAGGCTCATAGAATAACCCAAAGTGGTGTGTGTGTGT